ACAAGCCAGGGCAGGAGAAAGGCCAAAGCAAGGATGCTGCTGCGAGCACCCTAGGGGCCAAGGCTGGCCGGGAGCTGCCGGGAGGGACAAATGTGGGCAGGAGCGTCTGGCTGGAAGACGAGGCTCTGAAGTCTTCACCTGCTGCTTCTGTTCCCCAGCAGCTGGTGGGGTTGTGAATGTGATATGTGGGGTGGCAGGGAGCAGTGTGGGAGAAGACTCCAAGGCAAAGGGTCAAGAAGCTCAGTGTGCAGATGCTGTGGGCTCGGGGTGGGTCTGAGCTTGCGGAGGACGCCCCTTGGTGCTGGAAGGTCTAGAAACACCATCCACTCTTCTGCACTGCCCCAATATCTGACCCTGGAGGGCAGTTTCCCCTTCCTCTCTGCCCCTGCTGATCAGGTCCCCGAGGCAACAGCCCTTCTTATCACAGGGCCAGGTGCTGTTTCCACTCATCCTGGAGTACTGGCTGTAGGTTCCTGCCAGACCCCAAAATCATTCGAACAAGCCCATCATAGTTTCCCATGTGAACCAGGGGGCACCCCATCCTCTTGACACTGCAAGTCTGTCTCCCACTGCCTGCCTGCCCCCTCCGTTCCCAAGGAGAGTGCCCATGCACCCTCCTCCCCGGATGTGAGCTTATGTGACTAAGAAACGGCTGTCCATCTCGTCCACGCAGGGGCAGGTGTGGTGCGTCCAGCCGTCCCCTTCACCCTGGGCAGCACCCCTCCCTCACCAATGGAGTGAAGAGGAGCGGACCATAGCAGCCACAGCTGAGATGCCCACCGCGGCTGTGGCTGCAATCCAGGTGGCCAGAGGGGGAGAAGCAGGAGGCAGAGGCCTCTGTTACAACGGGGCAAGTGGGTGGTGTTTCCCTTCTTGTCTCTCTTCGTAGGGTGGCTAATCTTTCCCCAAAGCTCCCACTTGTCTCACTGCCCATTTGTCTCCATCTTGGACCCCCATAGCCTAGAACTGTGCTATGTCTCACTGGACAGAACGGGGCCACTCTCCTACCTCTGAGCCGATGGCTGGCAAATGGCAATGGTGTCATGGTGGCTGACTGGGGACTGGTCACAGTCAGTCCCCTGCAGTGGGGGCAGGGCCCACTGTCCACGAGCACATTTTCACCCAGTGCCTGAATGAGAGAGATTGGGGTCCTATCAGAATGAAACGGGGAGAGATGGGGTTGGGTAGGCAATCAGCTGTGTCCATTCTCTGGATAATGGGAAGCTGTTCAAGGGTTTTGGGCCAGAACAGTGCCATCTCCAGTGGGTTATAGCTCTGGTGACAGTACAAAAAATAGAATGGAGAGGCAAGAATTGGGACAGGACAGTCAATTAGGGGACAGGTGCCTGAGCTGAGGACAGGGACTATGACAAATGGCAAATAATGGGGGGTGCTCAGCATAGTTAAGCAAGGGAAACCCCCCCGGCCCCCATTACTAGAGACTGAAGTTCACTGGTTCTCCTACCTGAGTGTCCTTGGCCATCACTGAGGCTCCTCCCAAGGATTTGCGTTTGGAAGTCTGAGATGAGGCCAAGAATGTGCGGTTTTAACTCACATCCTCCAAGTGATTTTTAAGCAGGTGGTTGGTGCCCACATGGTGAGTATCACTCCCCCTGTGAGTTAAAAACCCAGTTTGGAAGTACCTCAAACACAGCAGCACTCCAGTAGGGGTTGGGGGCAGGTTTAACCCTTCCTATAGTTTCTTTGCTTGGTCCCTACTGCAGAATCGACACCACAGTGGACAACGGCTCCAGATCCCTGAGCAGGCGGGTCTGGGAGGTCTATTGGCACAGGCTCTTGGTTTCATTGGCAAACCGCTTTTTGCCCTGGTGTCTCCTGGGTAGCCAGTGGCGTCCATCCCTGGGGTCCACCTGATGTTTGTACCTGACTTCCATATACTGGATTGCTATTGCTGTGCCCTCCGATGGAACTATTACTGGCTGACTTGGCCTGAGAGTCAAATATCATCCCAGAATGAGCTGCCTCATTCCTTCATTCTCTGAGTATTTGCTGAGCAGCCAGGTGCCAGGCACAGTTCTAGGCTATGGGGGTCCAAGATGGAGACAAATGGGCAGAGTCCCTACTCTCATGACACTTACACAACATGAGTCACATAGTAAAGAGATGCAGATCCAATGGGTTGAATTGTGTTCCCCTCATATTATGTCTAAGTCCTAATTCCTGGTGCCTTTGATCTTATTCAGAAAGCAGGTCTTTGAAGATGCAATTAAGGATCTTAAGATGAGATCACCCCAGATTTAGGATCAGCCCTAAATCCAATAACTGATGTCTTTATGAGAAAGGAGAGAGAAATCTGAGACAGAGGCAGATGGATGAAGGCAACACGAAGACAGGAGACATTGAAGTGGGGCAGTCATAAGTCAAGGGACACTGGAACCACCAGGAGCTGGAGGAGGCAGGGTGAGCCTCCCCTGGAGCCCTCAGAGGGATCCTGGCCCTGTGGACATCTTGAGTTAGGACCTCTGGCCTTCAGATCTGGGAGAGAAAACATTTCTGTTGTTTCAGCCACCCAGTTTGGGGAAATTTGTTATGACAGCCCCGGAAACTGATACAGATAGTAAGTCAGGTAGTAGTAAGAGCTGGGAAGGAACATAAGGCAGGGGAAGAGGATGGCTGGAAGGGTGGAGGAGAGTGAGCAGGAACACACTGGTCCTCGCTGCTGGCTCTGTTTTCTTGATGGCAGCCTCCTGGCCTCTTCCTATTTGTTTCTCCCAGTTGTGTTCCCAGACCTTGATTTACGATCTCACCTCACATTCATCTGAAGACGGCAGTTCAGTGGGGACTCTACTCATTGTCTGCAGAAAGTAAGTGGCTTCCTGTGGATAGGTGCAGGGGTCACAGACTCAGATGAGGGCCTGGGTGAAGGGCAATGGGGAGGGTGATGCCCACCCTCAAGCTGGCAGCTGCTGCTCTGCACCAGCGTAACATTAGCCCTGGCAGATCCTCCGTTTCTCAGGAGAAGCCAGAATCTGATACACATCTCCAGTTGTTTTTTGTATTTTTTTGCATGTACTTAACAACAATTCAGGTGAAATTGACATAGCATAAAGTCAAACCATTTTGAAGTGCACAATTCAGTGTTTAGTCTACTCACAATGCTGTATGACCACAGCTTCTATCTAGTTCCCAGACATTTTTATCACCTGAAAAGGATATCCTGTACCCATTAAGCTGTCACTCCCCATTCCCCCACTCTGGCCCCTAGTTACCACTGTTCTGTGCTCCATCCCTATGAATGTACCTATTCTGGATCTTTCAAGTAAATGGAATCATACAGTTAAATATCAACAATGAACGACCCTCAGCACAACAAAAGACACCAGGTGGGCCAGATAGACTGGTCCTCAGACATTCAGCTTTTGACCTCTGGCTTGGCCAGTGACAGGTGGCACCTCATATCAAAGTGATGGGTTCATTTGGAAGCTGTCTCAGTGACATGTTAGGACACCGGTAGTGCCAGGTCAAGGAGTGGCCAGGAAGGTCTGCCCTGGGTAAGTGGTTTTGGTGGCCATATTTGGGTTCCTGTATTGTCCCCAAGAGGAAACATGGCTCTGACCATTGGTGCTGGAAGGTAGTCTCTTCCCTACAAGTAAAAGGGCTCTGAGGGGTTGGGAAGGATGCTCCTTTCTTCTTGGCAGTCTAGTCTGACATGCCTCTTGGTGAGAGGACCATTCAGGGGTGGCACTCACATGAGAGGAGAGTAGAAGGAAGATGGTGCCAACATGCTTTTCAGATCTCATAGTCACAGCGGTTCATGTGTTTAAGAATTCCCCTTTTCAGCCTTGAATTCTGCTTTGGAGAGCAAAACGTGTAGGGCTGGTTGTTTCTCTCAGAGGAGGTGAGGTCATACTCTTCCTTTCCATTGCAAGGCAGGAAAAAATTAGACATTAATGGTTAATGTTTGAAGGCTGCGTTCATTCCTTAGTGATGGTTATTGAGCACTTGCCAGGCACCCAGTGGGACAAAGATACATAACCTGTCAGCCCTCAGATTTATTAGCAGAGGGTGACAGATAAATTAAGAAAAAGAAATGTGTCACCAAGTGTCAGCTAGTAACAACTGGGGTAAGAGTAGCAAAAGACAGATTTGACCAGGAAGAAGGGAGAAGGGAGGCAAAGAATTTCATTTTCTTTATCTCAGGCCAGTGCCTATGGTCCTGGAATTTGTTCTCTGCCCAGGAGTGGAGGTGGGAGTGTCAGGGTGGGAGGCTGGGGTGGAATGAGGGGTGAGTGGGGATCCAACCTGTTTGCTCGGCTTCCCCAGCTCTGCACACAAGCTCTGTGCACCTTGGGCTCCGAGGTGGGGCTTTTTCCTAATTCCTTCACCTTCAGTGGTGATCTTTTTCTGATTTGATGAAGGCTCTGTAAAAGCTGGGTTCCTGCCTTAGCTTAGTTTTGCTTTTCAGTCTGTACTTTGGGGCTCAATTTTTTAATGCCTTTGTTGTTTTTGTAATGTAGATATATGTAGGAATGGGATTTATTATTGTTGTAAATGATCCTTCTCTGACTAGCTTATGAAAAATATGATTCCTTCTCTTCTGGCTGGAGTGGTCTAGGTGTGGTTCTGTGAAGCAGGTGTGAGGGATAACAGTGACTCACTTAGGTTCTTTTCCAACATCTAATTCAATGAATTAGGTTTTCTTTAGAGCCCGTGAGTCACTTTCTTTGCTCAGTGATTTGCGTGACAGTGTGGTGAGATAACCGAGAACTTGGGCAGCCAACTGGGAGATTTTTTAAGGATTGTAAAGAAATGTAAACTTCCAAAGACCTGGGGGAAACCTGGAAGTATGGAAAACGTAGTCACGTAAGAAAATAGTTCCTGAAACAAGGGAAAACATCTTCCAACAGTCATGTACTTTTTCACCTTCTCATATTTCGCTCTTGTTTAAGAAAGAAGTCTGACATCACCGGCATGATTTGCCATGTCAGGAATACCGCGGGCGCCTTTGCGAACAGCTGCAGCATTTCTGCTCTGCTAACTGCGTGGTTTGGGTGAATGTTCTGTCCGCTGAGGTTAATGACTCCTTGCCCTTCCCACTTAGCTGCTCTGCATTCCTGGCCTACACTGTCAGATGGATCTACAGAAAATTCTATTTTCACTTTAGCATCATCTGAAGGTAAACTTGAATAATGGGAGAAATAACGTGTGGAAAAGAGATTGTATATCTGGATGTTATTAAATGTATGTAAGGGCAGAGTAAAAAGATATTTCTTGTTCAAAGCTGGGTTGAAGAGTATAAAAGCTGCTGGGTGTCAAAAATGGACATGGCAAAACTATGGAAAGACTGTCCTATCCATCTCAAGCTGTGCTTTGATGGGCCTTTTCTTCTTGCAAGTGTTTGATAACTTTCAGAGGAATATTATTTTATGGGTGATATTTCAAATAAGTCATTGCAAGGCTGTCTGAAATACCGATTTGCCATGATCTTGTGTGTGTGTGTGTGTGTGTGTGTGTTGGGAGGGTTGCCATGCGAGAGAATAGAGTCCTTGTTTGTTTAGTTATGACTGTTTATTAGCCCAGCCCTGTGCTATTTATTTGTTTGGCACCATGAAGAGAAGGAAGCTACAAATTGCACTTGTGGTATGGTCTACTTACCTTTTGCTGTGTGCCCAAGTATCCCAAAACATACTGGATTAAACAACAGCCATTTTTATAATGGCTCATGATTCTATGTGTGAAGAATTTGGGCAGGACTCAGTTGTGCAATTATTCTGCTCCATGTGGTGTTCAGTGAGCCTCTTGGTGGTCTTCTGCTGTCAGATGGGCTGGTCCGAGTGGCTGGGACAGCTTCACTCATGAGCCTGGCACCTCTGTGAGAATGGCTACAGGCTAGGCCGAGCTGGGGCTGCATGAGCAGCCAGCATGGCAGCTCAGGTCTCCCAGAGACCACAGTGCAGACCCTGAGCTGCTATAGCCTACTTTTGGAAGTAAAATAACATCACTTTCTATGTGCTCCAATGTCCAATGCAGTCATAGGCCAGCCAGATTCAAGGGAGGTGGAAATAGGTCCCTCCTTTCAATGCGAGGAGGGACAAACAATTTTTTGGCTATCTTTAATCCACCATGTGTTATGAGAGATTAACTCTTTGGCCAAGCTCTCAGGAATATTTAAAATTCTTATACTTTACCCAGATTAGATCCTTTGGTGACCCTGAAGCAGCTGTTTGAAACCTCTTTCACTTCCTTTTCTCAAGCTTCCTAGCTAGGAGATGTCTTTATTCCTGCTCTCCTGATAAAACATAGGCCATTTGGCATAAACTAAGAGAAGTAGGGAGAAGCATGGTGCTGGAGCCAAAAACTGCACATTGAAAAGCCATTGTTTCCCATTCTTGAGAGCTTGAGCAAGTTTCTCAGCCCCTCTGAGCCTTCGTTGCTTTGTCTGCAGAAAGGGGATAATACAACCAAAATCCCTGCGGTGTTATTGACGAGGTGTGAATAAAAAAATGCCTTATACACACCTGACTAAGTGTAATTTCAGATGTAGTTGACTTTAAGCCCTGTTTTGCCCAAACCTGGGTGAACATGACACTGACATTTATGAGAACAAATCACTAAAACTGAGAATTTTAATTATTTACAGTTTTGAAAAGATGATTAAATGAAATGATGCTCAGGAAACCCTCTGTAGCTGTCAAGTACATTATGATGATGAGTAACTTATCAACAGTGTCAGCATTACAATTGGGTCATAACTGCTTTGTATTCTACATGGTCAGAAGCGATTGCTCATTTCTCTGCCCGTTGCTTATTTCCATGGTGTTTCTGATGTTGGAGAGACTATGGAATGAGGAAGAGAGGAATGAAAAATTTTCAAGGGTGGGAGCAGACAATAGCTACAGCCACAATAGTTTATGTAGTCTAAGAATATGTGCATAAATCACTATTACAATGAAATAAAACCCAACCAAGTTGATCTGACACATCTAATGATATACATAATCCTTGCTTTTACTGCATGGTAATTAGGCATAAAAAGTAAGATTTCACATAAATAACTGTAATTAGTATCACTTGCCACCAAAGCAAATTTTTAATCTATTCTATCTTCTGTTGCTTCTTCTGGTATCCATAATTAGCAACAATGCTAAGAGTTTTCCCAGATAGCCTGTTCTGCTTAGTTCTTTCCATTCATTTGTTCACTCACTCACTCATTCACTCATTCTTCAAATGCTGAGTGCTTGTAGTATACCAAGCACAGTGCTAACTGTGGGTACAGCTGGTCATGGGGAGACCAGAGAAAGGGGTTATTTCAGTGCAAGGTTAGCAAAGTAGGATAGTTCAGAATATATAAGAACCAAAAAAAGCAGGTTCCCTGGAGAAGATGAATCCTAAAATAATTTTATCAGGGCAAGGGATTGGGTGAGGGGGAGAATGGCATGTGAGCATAAAACTGGCACTTAGAGATCATAAAACTGGCACTTAGAGATCATAAAACTGGCACTTAGAGGTGACCCGCCGGCCGCATTAAGTAGTGTGATCTTAGGAGTTGAACTATTTAGGGACTAGACTTGGGCCTGCTGCATGTTGGAGCCGAGGAGGACACCCATGGGTTCTGAGCTGTGAAAGAGGCATCCCTTCTGAGATAGAGGAAAGAGCAGCTTTGAGGGGAAGACGTATGTCATGCACATGCTGAATGACCTTGAGTTACTCATGGGATATCCAAGAGGAACTGCCCTGCAGGCGGTGGATACTGGGTCCAGCGCTGTGCTGCCCAAGGTGGTAGCCACCCCTCACGTGTTGCTATTTAAATTTAAATTAATTAAAGTGAAATAAAAAATTAAATGCAGTTCTTTAGTTATATGAGTCAAATTTCAAGTGCTCAGTAGCCACATGTAGTTAATGGGTCCATACTAGACAGTGCCGATACAGGATATTTCCATCAGGGCTGTATTAAGGCTGTCATAACGAATGACTGCAAACTGGGTGGCTTCAAGCAACAGAAATTCCCTCTGTTGCAGCTTGGAGGAAGGAAGTCTGAATCACAGTGTCAGCCAGGTCACGCTCCCTGTGGAGGCTCTGGGAGAGGGTCTGTTCTGTGACTTTCTCCTGGCTTCTGGTGTTGCCCCCTGTCCTTGGTGTTCCTTAGCCGCATCACGCCAGTCTCTGCTCCCGTCTTCATAGAGTGCCCCTCCTGTATGCATGCCTCCAAATCTTTCCTTATAAGAATACCAGTCATTGGATATAAGGGCCCACTAATCCAGGATGAGCTCATCTTAACCTGAAGACTTGTGCAAAGACCCTATTTCCATTTCAGGTCACATTCCCATGTACTGGAGGCGGGAGCAGTTAGGACTTGAAGACATCTTTTTAGGAAACACAATTCAACCCATAACAATAGCAAAATTGTATTGGACAGCCCTGCTTTAGAGCCTACAGGACAAAGGAATTGAAGCCATGGGACTACATGTATCATCCAAGAAGTAGGGAAGGGAAAGGACTTGAAACAGACCTCAAGGAACAGTAGCATTCATGGGATGGGCAGAGGAAGAGAAACCCACAGAAGGACTGAGAAAGAGAAAGCCAGAGAGGCAGAAGGAAAACCCAGAGGGGTATGGAGACTTGGAAGTGGTGGAAGCCATTTCAAAAAGGTGAGTGTGGTCAATAGAATTAAAAACTGCTGAGTGGCCAAGTAGAAAAGGCCTGAAAGGTGCCCACAGGACCTAGCAACAAGGAGGCTGTTGGCAAAAACCCTGAGTCTAAGGGAAGGAGCTGGATGGGGCTTGGAACGGGAACTGGTGACAGGTCCAGAAGTAGAGGCAGCAGCAGGGGAAATGAAACTGCAAGCACCAAGTTAGGGGACGCAGGCCAAGGACAGGGTGCGGCATTGAGAGGAGCCAAGGAGGTGGGGGAGGCCTCCGGCTTGGGGGCCTGTGCACCTGGGGGTGTTGTGCTCCAGGCTGGCACGAAGAGAGGAGAGTTTGCTTCTGAGGATCTACTTGGACGAGGACTGGAGTTGGAACCCCGGCTGCCCTGCGGCCCAGCCACCGCCTCCCACACCCTCATGAACTGGAAAGCGTGACTTCTATTTCTGCTGCATTTTCCCTTCTCTACTCTCCCACTCAGACTTCTTTGCTTATGCATCCTTTCTGCTCCCTCAGACTCAGACTGTAAGTGACTTTAATGTATCACTTTTCTGCCACTCCCAGGACCACATCTGTCCCTCCTGGTGTCTGCATGATGTGGCCCCTGCTGACTGCCCCATGCTCTGTGCACTCTGGGAACATGGCTCTTGTCTCGGTTTTTAAAAATGGCCACGTTTATGGCTCTGCCTGGAAAGATTTCTGCCCTTATAATCTAACACTGATAACTCTAGGTGCCACCTAGATCTAACACTGATAACTCTAGGTGCCACCTGCCACCTTACATATCACTTTGTTAAGGAAGGGTCCTTTGTACTAGTCAGGTCCCCATTCTAATCTCACTATGGTGCTACTTTTTGAAGTCCCTATCTCTGTAATTATATGTTTACTTGTGTGATAAAAGTTGACCTCGCTAGACTGTAGACTCCATGAGGGCAGGCATTGTAGTACCTGTTCATGCTGAATCCCTAGCACTTAGCATAGTAGATAATTGAGAAGTATTTAGTAGGCCAATCACTTCATAAATGACACATTTTGATGCATCCCTCCCAGCTCCTGAACTTTATTATAAACAATTTCAAACATACAGCAAAGTAGAAAGAACTTGACATCAAATTCCCATATCTTACCACAAAATGCTACTCAATATTTACCATACTTGTTTCATCTCATATTTATTGCTCTGTGTATCCCTCCATCCCCTATCAGTCTGTCTTATATTCTTGATTGGGCAATGCTCTTTGATGGTTGCTTCATGTGGGTAAATCTGTCAGTCTTTCAGTTTCCTAACTCCAAATTGCTAAAAGAAGTCTGGCAATCCAGGGTGAAGGCCACACAGAAAGCCTCTGAGTTGGTAGCCACTTCCGTGGGCCCATCAGCTGTGGTGGGGTGTACAGGGTCCTCTGGTTCAAATTACCTGGTAAACTCATTAGCAGAACTGTGTGTGTGGCCTTCTCCCTTTGAAGGTGGCATGAGGAGGGTGGGCACCATGATATTGCTGGTACAAGTTGCAAACAGGCACAGGGACTAGGGAAGG